TCCGGTCGAAGCTTCGTGTAACAATTGCGACCATATCGCGTCCCGTTGAAACAAGGTGTTTCCAAAGTGTTCGAACGACATTAGATGCAAAACAGAGAACGTTTAAGGAGTTGGGTATATACTTCCTCGAGGACCGTTTACCGTTTCTTGTAGCAGATTGAGGGACCGTTTAACGACCGTTCGCCCTCGATTTTCACGATTTGCTCGTTTTCTTTCATTCTTCGTATATAGCGGGGGAAGTGTCTGCGCCAGAGAACCGCGGGCTCCGATCATCGTGACCCAACCGACCGACTGTTCCCACGAGTGGACAGTGTTTCGATCTATATACAAGAGTAATATCGATGAGATATCTTTAAGCGAATAGACAGAGAAGTATTAATGTTCGTTTCTTTATTATTATTATTATTATTCTTTTTTTTTTTTTTTTTCGAAGCTTACGTTCCACCTCGTCGCTTACATATTTGGCTTTGCACGCTCACACATAAAAGCAATGATCGTCGAAAGGGGGAGAAAGTGTCGAAGTTATACATGATTATTTAAGTTACCATACATCTACCACGATATAAAGTTTTTAATTTCGAAAATGTTAGGCTGTGTCGATTCGTAGAAATAGTAGTTGCCGGCTGGAATCGGATCGAAGACCGGCCTCTGTCTCGCGCGATATCGTACGTAGAATGAAAATCGAGGGCGGACGAAAGGATCCTGCCTCTTTCTCTTCTTGTTCTTTTTGTCTTATTATTTTTTTCCCCTTCTTCTTCCTTTTCTTCATCTTCTTCGCTGGAACGGAGTATCGATTTCTTGTGTACGTGAACATCACTCGTATCCAAGGTCTTCAAAGCAGGCCCCGTATAATGGGCGATTCACGGCGAATGCTCGAAGTCTTCGAGCGGACCTCGTAAAATTTCAGTTCACCATCAACGATCAAACTCTTACGATCTCTTGTTCGTAATTCTTACAATAAGAACGTACTTTACATTACAATGCCTATTTTATTACTAACGGCGCGCCACGAGTAACGCCTCGTGGCGCGCCTATTGGTCGTACGCAATGCTACGTTAAACTGTTATTTAGAAAAAATTTTTTTTTTTTTTTCTCGTCAACAACGTGTTTCACATATCTACAAGTAAACTCGTCTTCCCGAACAAACGGCCTAAAACGTCGTCTATCTCGCCGAGGGTCTCTGTATTTTATACGTAGCTTTATACGTAGTTTTTTTCTCCTCGTTTTACAGCGCGATTCGCTTTTTCTTAGTTTCAAAAGAAATAGAAAAAAAAGAAAAGAAAAAAAAAACAGAACACGCCCGACTCGCGTTTCATAACTTGCAAAACATGCTAGCGATCACGGACCCCGATTCGATCGTTCTTCGTACTCTTTTTTTTTTTTTTTTTTTCTCTTCTCTTCACGGCCACGAACGAAGCTGATTTCGTTTCTCTTATGGGAATCCGTACACCGTCGAGGTCCAATCGCGCTGGACGTATCATCTAACGACTAATTCGACTCCTTCGTTAATCCTCTTCTTACGTTTACGAATATTTTACCAAATATATTGCGTACTGGCAGCACTGTTTTCACGTGTCGCGTCTATTCAAAAACACTCTCCGATACCTGAGGTTTCGTATCCTCCGTTTTCATGGCACTTGTTTTTGAACGAAAAGTCCGTCCGCATATGTCTTCCTCGTCTGTTCGATCATCGTCTTAGACGTTGTTCCGGTTCTCTATTCCTCTATATGTCTCCAAGCTTTTTTCGTAGGTTCGGAGGAATCATCTTTCCTTTTGTTCTCTTCTTTCTTTGTCTGACTTTCATTGGACGAACGTTTCGACTCGGGGGCTCGTTTTCAACATGTGAAAACCTTTGTTTGTCTTCTTTTTCTCTTTCTTCATTTCTTTCTTTCCTTTTTCATTTTTCTTTTTTTTTTTTTTTTTTTTTTTAATTCTCGGCTCGTTCGGTTTGTATAGGGGACGGGGCTAAAGCTCTGTGATTCGTAAAAAAGAGAGAAGAACACGCTCGACCGGAAGCAGGCTGCGAAGGAAGCAAGAAAGAAGAACGATGTCGCGTGACACTTTCTCTCTCGTTCCCTCACTGACCGACATCTTACTTTTAGCGTTTTTTTTAGAACCGAAAAGGATTCGGCCGATTGTCCTTATCGGTGATCCGTTTTTTTTTTTTATTTTTTTTTTTTTGGTTTTCCCGCTTGTGTGTTTCTGTCTCTGTTAAACAGAGTGTGTGTGTTTCTTATTTTTACTTCGCGTTTCGCGCTTCTCTCGATAATCGCGCGCTCGGTGATCTCGCAGTGTTGCTCGTTTTCTTCTTTTTTTTTTTTTTT